TATCCTATAGCTGCCATATAACTGATTGATCGGAAATGCCATAACTTTCGTGTTTGTAAAGTTAGGAAGTTGGAATTTTCTATGGGTTTTATATTTGGTCAATCAATCCGACCTACCAAAGTTCATAAGGATCGGCCGACTATATCTTATAGCTGCCATATAACTGATTGATCGGAAATGCCATAACTTTGGTGTTTGTAAAGTTAGGAAGTTGGAATTTTCTATGGGTTTTATATTTGGCCAATCAATCCGACCTCCCAAAATTTCATAAGGATCGGCCGACTATATCTTATAGCTGCCATATAACTGATTGATCGGAAATGCCAAAACTTTGGTGTTTGTAAAGTTAGGAAGTTGGGATTTTCTATGGGTTTTATTTTTGGCCAATCAATCCGACCTACCAAAGTTCATAAGGATCGGCCGACTATATCTTATAGCTGCCATATAACTGAACGATTGGAAATGCTATAACTTTGGTGTTTTTAAAGTTAGGAAGTTGGGATTTTTTATGAGTATTAAGAACGCATCATATGAATAATTTTGGAGAATATAATTTACAGAGTATTCTGCAAGGGTATATCAACTTCGGCTCCGCCCGAAGTTAGCTTTCCTTTCTTGTTTTCGTAGTGAGATTGATAGCCCCGCCTTGGTAGGCTCAACCTTTCTGTGCCAATTAGATTACGTAGAATATCTATTCTCCTAATACAAAATCATTGTAGATATATGTACGTGTGACTTAATATTGACGCTCTGCCGCTCTTAAATCGATTAACACTTACTTCTTTACATCTTCGGCTGCTAGTACTGGGCTGAAACTTCGGAGTTCTTTACATCTTGGGCTGCTAATAGTGGGCTGAAACTTCAAAACTCAATCAAATTTCATAAAATTTGAAAATTTCCAAGTCTGGACCAAACATTTTACCTGCCAAATGATTGGGCCAGACTTAGAAATTTTTAAATTTTATGAAACAATTTTTAATATGTTAATAATGCTCTCGAAATTTACCATCGTTGGAACTTATCTTCATCAGAACTGCAACCAAATTAAAATTTATAGCCAAAAGAAAACATATTCTCGTTTTTTACATCTTAATCGTTTTTCGGTTTCTTAACTATAAATGACCCAGGGACTCCGCCCCCAAGCAGGTCAAGTCTGCTTCGCCAAACGGCTAATACCCGAATGGCCGAAATAGAAGACCGGCACTGGCACTTCCACGCATTGCACAATAATGTGTGCCTGGGCATATTTGGCTTGGGGGCTGCTCCACATATCGCCCATATCGCTTGAATGTGCAGTGTTTGCTTTGGCACTTGTCCCTCGACCCTATCGAAGTCCGAAATCGCATCGCATCAAAATTCATCCGACTTGCGGTGGCGATCGGCGCTTTTGGCGGACGCACTCCGCCTGCCAAGTGGGTGAGGCTCTGCTTCTGGCCGATGATGTGGGGCTGCGAATTGACCACGTTTCTAGCGTATCTGCGTGGAAATTTCAATTTCAATTTCAGGTCGTGTCTAACTGGAAGATATTGGCGGCAGATACGATACGATGGCAAACCGATCGCCGATCAGAGCGGAGTGTGGTCCGCAGGAAATCCATGCCTCCAGCCGTGTCATGTAATCCGCATCGATTGGGTAAACGATTTCTGCGAGGGTGCATAAATTGTGGTCAAAAGCTGATTGGCAGTTGTGGGCCAGGAGGAAGACCCAGCTGATAACACGTACCAAAATCATTCATCCACCTCGGTTAAATCGCACGGATATGCAAATGCAAGGGAACATGTTTTAATAAAATAGTTATACATATATATTTTAGGTGCTTGGTGGAAAGCGAAAATTTACTTTGTTTAATTTAAAAATAGAATTACGAAGTTTTATTTTCGACGTATTAGATGTCAACTTCATTTTTAATCTGTTTAATAACATAATTAAAATTTTCTTATTGAATCTTTAGAACTCCAGTTGCAAATCAATAAATAAATAAACTCAATGATTCCAATAGTTTTAAATAATTTCGAGGGCTACGTTTATGTAATCTTTCTTGTAACAAATTTACTAAAACTAATTAGCATCCTGATTTAACGGTTTTTTCGAAGCCCATTATTCACTTAACAGCTTAACAAATTTAATTAGCAACCTTACAATGAAGTACTAACTCACAAAAATGCACTGGAACTACATAACGATACATGCATTTAAAAAAGCAGACTTAAACACTAATGTAAATTCAAAAATAATATATTTTATATAATAATTGTTTTTAATGCTTCATATTTGCTAATACTACTACTCAATAACTCAGATGCTAATCAAATTCTAATGCACATCAATCTCTCTTAGAACGCGTAAGATTGATTTATGAGTTAGTTATCTCGTATCAATCTGGCCGGCTTTTATCACAAACGATTTGTCCACTCATGTTTGACCAATCGACTGGACAGCCGGTCATGTTCCGCCGTCCAATTAGACGGCTATTTCGTTTGGCTGTATCTGCATAACGACGAGCACTTGGCGTGTTTTACATCATGTTGGTGCCGAGTGAGCCATTGAGTGCGCAAATGCGTCTGAGTCTCAATTGGAGTCTAAGTCTAGTGGCCAGCTGTTCGGCTCTGGCTGGAGCAAAGATCCTATTACACAGAAAACATTATTATCATTAACGAATATCGATGAATTAGAAAACTTTTGAATGGATTTCAAATTATTTGTTTTATATGTAATACGATACAATAAATGCAATGCTTTCACGCAGACCTCTGTATTAAAACAATGCAAAAACTATAGATATTGAGTATAACAAAAATTCCTTATATATAATTAATTAATATAAAGGATATTTTATATCCTTTTATCCATTATAATATATTATAAAAATATTTTTCAATGTTATTAATATCACCAAAAAAACATAAATATTTGGGTCCAAATGAACTTAATATCGTTTTTCGAATTATAATATAATATATTAATATTGCTTTTATAGAACAAAATAATCATAATTTCTTTAACATCATTTAATTTGATTCACAACTTAAAACAAAAATATTAAGATCTAAATAACTCAACTAAAATCAAGTTTTTTATGATAAAAATTAGAATTTTCAAGGCATGACATTTCATAAATCAAAATAACAATCTAATGATCTCTTAATCCTATGACTAATTTCTTCCTGTGTTATTTCGGGACCTGGTCCGATTTTTTGTGTGGTCCACATTCACAGAAATCAAAACTCACCCAACAGGAAGTATTTGCATGTGCAGATCTCGGGATCCCGATCCAAAACGATTCGTGAGCGCGTTCGCAGAAAGCGAAAGTAATCATCCACCGCAGCGGCCAACGGGTGGATTATTGTTTAGTTTTGCCACGGGCACGCATGGTTAGAAGGGGCGCGGGGCGGCCGGGGGCGTGGCATGGAAGCCATGGCATATTTATCACACAGACAAATATCCATTATGCAATTTGGCATGTCTAAAACGGGCAATTTGCCGCAAATGCAATAACATCCCGGCAAGAAGGGGGTGGGGTAAGTCGGTGGTTCGGTGGCTCGGTGCATCGGTGGTTCGGTGGGGCAGGATGGCAGTGGTGCGCCCTCAAACGCAGCAAAAGCACACTGGCCTACATATACACAGAAGGCACGAGAGAGTGAAAGAGAAAATGGAAAAGTGATAGTGATAGCTTAACCCATATTGATGAGTTGAGTCTACTAACTTTGGGTAATATAGGGTTACAAAAACGTATCTTAAAACTAAGTACGCATACTTTGTGGGCTTTAAAATATAAAATTATAATATAAATTAGTTATGTCATAAAAAGACTTTGGGCGCCAAAAAAATACCTTAAAACTTATTCGGAAGTGCTAGAAGTATTGAAGATCCCTCTTAAAAATAGAACACAAAAATATTATATATTTCTAGGTATAAGTGAATTTACAATTTAATTTTTGTTCCTAGCAAGAAATAGAATATTTAACTTATTGTTTATATTTACTACATTTGGAGCTTTCAGTTCAGCGTTGAATGGGTTAAACAGTCCGCTAATTTAAGCTCTTGACAGTTGACTTAACAGCACAACAGCAGCAACATGCAACAACTAGTTGCAACAGCAGCTGGCGTGGCTAATGTTATGTCAGGGGCATTATAGAATGGGCCAAAAAACGATAAAATCAAAATCGAATTTCCGTAAAATCGTGTGATGCATTGCTTGATTAGCGCCACAACTGTTACTGTTAAGTAATTGCCCGAAATGCGTTTTATTGCAAATTTACGCTGTACGTGTTTCGTGTTTCATGTGTCGTGATTTGTTTTCTTTTTCCTTTTGGGTACATCCCAAACTTGTCTCCTGTAATTCCAACGCTGACCCATATTAATTGACACCACCGGCGACAGTAACCACAAAAAAAAAGCATTCAAGGTCGTTCGCTGCAGATGTCTTCAAACCGATATGGAAGGGCCAGAAATTTGGATTAGCGTGACAACTTTGTTTTGTCTCCGCTCTCACGTTCACTTTTTTTGGCGGTCTGCAGAAGGCCGCTAAGTGATCCATTCAGTGACGATACATGTGCTACTTGGTCATTCACTTGGAATGATTTTACCCCCACTCCTCGCTGTTTTGCGATTATGATTATGAAACGAATGTAATTTGCCTCGTATTACACAAAACAGCAGCAAGTCAAAGTTCGATCGTCTGCCTCTGTGGACAACTGAAGCATGGACCGCTCCTAACCCTCCCCTTTCCACCGTCCGCTGGGTCTTAACCCCTCGTAAACAGAAGTCAACAACGGTTAACGTCTACTAACATGGCCAGCACTCGTCCACTGTTGTGGTTATTGTCGCGTTGCTGTTGCTTTTGCTGTTGCCAATGTTGCTGCCCGGTTTCGCCGATGTTGCTGTTGGGCTTCGCTGTTGTTGCTGCCGCTGCACCAACGTCACGTCTTTCTTGTGCAGCGCTGTCGACTCTTAACAAAATCGCTGTTGGCGCCGGGTATAAAACGGATGAGTCGCAGCCTGTGGTTATCAGTCACCACCTGACAGTGCTCCGGTTTTCGTATCGTCTTTCGTGCAGAAGAGTTCAGCTCAGCCAACCAACAATGTCCGCCCTGAAAGTATTCGTAAGTGCGACAAGGATACCGGTCTTAAAAGTGTTCGACAAAGTCATATAAAAACCCCCGTTTGGAGCTGAAAAGGATTAAATTCAATTGGACTATAGTGATACAAATTGCCAATCGAACAAATTAAATTAACAAGGCTCAACCATCAATATCGGCAGTATTGGAAACTTAAAGAGATTGCAGGATAAACAAACTTACAAAACCCCTTAATTGAAAACATCAACTTTTTCGAAAAGAAGTTGTGTTAGCAACATTTAGTGTTTTTATTTACAATGCTAGCTTTAGCTTATTAAGAAATATTTGGAAATTCATCTTGTTATAGTAATACTTTTGTATGTATATGTTTCGATTTAGGAATATTAATTTCTTTTATAATTTATTAAAAAAAAATGATGTTTTTACGATTTTGTTTAAACGTTACAGTAAACAGTTCTTTGTTATTTTATATTATTCAGCATTGGTTATTTATCTGCCGTTAAGAAACAGGTGTAGCCAAAAACAAATAGCATTGTGGTTTTAAAATTATTGTTCATGTCAGTTTTAAACCTTATAATTTGGTCGTGAACTAAGTTTTTCCAAGAAATATTTGTATTTTTACCTACTGTTTGATTTTCAAGTAAATTTAGTATTTTCACGCTGTGAAAATTGACCATACAGCTATTAAATAGATATAACGAGCATTTATCTAACCAGCTCCAAATTTAAATTAATTATACTGATTAATTCTCTGCACAAAAGAGTTTTGCACTTTAAAATCGGACTGCAACACTTCCTTATCCCCTTTCAGATCTTCGTTGCCCTCTTCGCCGTGGCCTACTGCGCCCCCAGTCCCGGCTTCTTTGGCAAACAGTAAGTATCTCCGGTCGATCTGCACCTGAACTGATCCATAAATAACCCGAGCGAATCGATAAAAATACCCATTTCCCGCTTTATGCTAAGCTAACGAGCGGTCGCATGGGTTTTTAAACGCTGCGACTGGGCTGTGGGTATATAAAATATGTGTCCGATTGCGATCGAATTGAGCAATCAAAACGCTTGTAGCACTTAGAGCGCCCCGCTCCAATCGCAGTCTTTATTTCATGCACATGACTACCATTGAACTTAGCCGATCTTGGCTTGGATCGCGGCTTAGGAATTTCACAGGCTGCGGTTGGCATTTAATTCATTGTAATGCGCGCATAATTGTGCGAACTAATTGCCAATTCCGATTGGCTGCCAAGACGCAGAGTTCAAGCAACTGATTAGATTAGCTAATATGGCTGCCAATCTGACCGATTTCACTTTCGATCCGCAGTGAGCACCACACGATCCACGTGCCGTACAAGGTGCACACGGTGCACCACCACCACGTCCAGAAGGTCCACGTTCCGGTGGTGAAGCACGTGCCGGTGCCCATCTACAAGGAGGTTCCCGTCCACCACGTCCACCACGAGGAGATCCCCGTGCCGGTGCACCACGTCCACCACGAGGAGGTGCCCATCCACCATGTCTTCGACGACCACCACGACCACCACGGCTGGAGCTCCCACCACGGACACGGCTGGCTGTAAGCCACCCGTTGGCCCGATTGTCCTCCAACCCACCCACTCAGTCAGCCAGTTCAATATAAACCAGCCTGTAAATATTGTACAATGCTTAAGTTAATGAATGTAAATAAAATCACAATTCGACTGTACACAGAAAAATCGCACTTTGTTTGTTTATTGATCTATTGGCTAGTTGAATAGGAGCAACTGTTCTTTAATATAATCATTATTTACAATGGAAAACATAAATATATGAATATCCAAGAATAGATATAGAATGTTTGATAAGACTATTCTTTCATTTAAAAATGTACACATCAAAGACATCAAGCAACATTTTATAGAGGGAAGTTTTATATTTCTTTTGATTTTAAAAATCTTGCAATATTTATTATTGGGTTCAAATCAATTCTTTCAATAACCAGATATTAAACATTTATTAATAAGTAATAAAAATAGAAAACAAGAAAGTAAATAATGATAAACTTTTCTTATGTACTTAATTTTATTTTTAATGATTGAACTAACAATTATGTAAAAACATGGATTATTGTTTAATACCAAGCCCATCAAGGCATATAATTTTCGTAGTTACTAATAAACTGTTACTTTGGCCCCACAATTATTATGTAACCGCTTTAAAGTTAAATGTGTAATTTTGGTTGATTTGGTGGTTTCCCAGAATACCAATATTAAATTTCACAGATCAATTTAAAAACAACATTATTAAATGAAATTACTTTCATGAATTGCATGTTTTTTGGCACAGTTAACTATTACTCAAGCTCCACAATGTTTATAAATTCGCTTCAAGTTTAAACATATCATATTTTTTACATTTCCAAGAAATAAAATAACAATTTATACAATCACTCTTAAACAGTGCATTTGGCAATAAAATTACTTTCATGAATTGCACGTTTTTTGCCACACAGTTGAAAGTCCCTAAATTTAAACAGCACCCAAAAAATGGGGCAATGCCATATTGATTATAAATAATACGATAAATCGATTGCACGCACAGGTCAAATTGCTCGGGAATGTTATAATTTCGACTGGAGCATTGCTCCATTAGTTAATCTTATTGCAAGACTGTAATTTGCAGTTGCACTTGACCTTGGGCTTGCCTCCCGAAGGCGGCAATTAAGCCGAAGTTTTGCAAGAACGACTTTCACAAAGCACTCACTCGACCAGCTCCGACTGAGGTCGACCACCAGACCGCTCCGCTCCCTTCCACTGATCTGGCCCAATCCGATCCGGTCCGGTCCGGTCACTCCGCTCCTGGCCCACGTAATGCTGTAAGTCAGGGGCGTGGCAGGGCGCATTCTCGGGCCATGAGAGCGGCAGTTCCTAGTTCACCACGCTTAAAACTGGTGCTAGGCCGATGGAAATTTGCAATTAAATATGTAGAATGTTTTTCCTTTTACTATCTAGTTTAAATTTAGTTTCTAAATTTGGTTTAAAGAATACTTGGCTTATTCAGAGAGTTTTCTAGTAGTTTGTAAGAGGTTTTGGCACCTCGAGGTCATGTCTCCATTAAATTACAACTTTACAGAGCCCTTTAAAGGAATTACTATCTATTTTTCATTTGGCCATTCTACAAAGCTATAATGCACTTCTATTCCACAATGTATTTGTTAAAACAAAAATACATATTTATATTTATATGTTCTTTTTTCTACACATATCTACCCCTTTTTTCCCATTTTCTTGTATGTTTCTAATTGGTATTTTCTCTATATTTAATTTCATAATATCTTCGATCGATAATTCACAAATTTCCCTGAATTTTCAAACAAAATCTGAAAGGATTTGGAAACTCATTTCCTATACGTAACCAAAAATGTTGGAAATCATATTTGGAAAAATAGGACAACCTATCCCCCTTAGCCATACAAAGTCGTATTTCTTTGACCAACATTTTGCATTTATTTCGGCGCCAACAACAAAGAATTTCAGATTAATGTCCACTAATTGAGAACTGGGGAAAGGCGAAGCGTTAGAGGAAGCTGCGGGTAGCCGCAAGTGTACGGACCGCCCTAGTTGCAGTACGGGAAGTTGGGGCACTGGTGGGGCGAGACTCCGGCGGGGTACAGGCGCTCCGTCCATCCTGGCAGTGGGGGAGCAGCGACCGGGGCACCGGCGTGTCCGGCGTTCACGTCGCAGTACGGGTAGTTGGGGCAGGTCTGCGGGTTGATGCCAGCCGGATACTTATCGCCACCGGCCGCCGGAGCGGGAGCCGCGTTCCACGAGGGCTGAGGCTGCCATTGGGGCTGTGGCTGGGGGTTCCACTGTTGCTGCGGCTGCTGCCACTGCGGCTGCGGCTGGGGGTTCCACTGTGGCTGCGGCTGCTGCCACTGCGGCTGCGGGGCGCCCCACTGCGGCTGGGGATTGTGCAGGCGCGCATTATCACAGATGGGGAAGTTGGGGCAGTCCTGGGGATTGACGCCAGCCGGATACTGGGCAGCAGGTTGGTGCTGTGGCTTGGCCACCGCCAGAGCCACAAAGGCAGCGAAAAGCTGCAAAGAAAACATTTAATAGAATATTTTTAAGGATATTGCCAAAAGCTATTAAGATTAAACAAAACGTATTTAAGGTAATCAAATCTAGCAATACTATGGACAATATCAAATGTCATTTAAAAAGGATGTTCCTATAAAACTAATTTTTTAATTCAGTTAGACTAAATATTATAATATTAGAAAGATATGAAAGCAAATTATAAATTAATACTGTATTTAACTATTTTTTTCCAAAAAAACAAAAATATTACTTTATTTATTGGAATTCTTTAATTGGTTAATAATCAGTAGGATAATGAGATTATCAGAAAATTCAAAGGTAATGAAAATTCGTACAACAAATTGAGGTAAAATAAGTCAATTTCGTCGTAGAAGAAACTGTTTTTAGATGTTCGCGTTGATCGGAGCCTGGTTCAAAGGGCACTTACCAGCTTGAAGAACATGTTGGCTGTTTTTAGTGGGTGGGTGGTGCTGGAGTGGAAGTTGGTTCTGGTGTTGGGGGTATGGTAATCCTTGGCCAAATTGGACTATGAAGTCGTAGCTCAAACTTCCAATTGGGTTCCTGGTCAGCGCTGCACTACTGCTGCCGAGCCCGGCCATCAAGCTTATATAGCTGATGCTGGCTAGAACCGACTCTTGGCCGGGTCTCAATCTCAGCCAGAGTCTCTCGGCCAAACTCAGTTTCACTTTCATTGCTTGTTGCTGTTGGTGTTGCTGTTGCTATTGCTGCTGCTGCTGCAGTTGCTTTGCTTTGCTTTACTTTTGCTTTTGTTTTTGTAGTTGACTGATCTCGCGCATATTTTACTTGATTGGCCCAACAGATTATTATGAGTATGAGTCTTTGTTGTGGAGCGCGGACAAATAAATTGAACGGGGCCGACGGACAGGCATATATGTGTATATACGGGTAATATGCTTAAACACCCAACTATGCAAACACATACGAATGTGCACTTATATCGAGTTACCGACATGCCGTCATTAGCAATGAACTAAGCCCCCAACTTGCATTTCGGCCAAAAAAAGAAATCTCCGTGCTGGTTGCTGTGTATTGTGTGTACGAGGCAGGGTATTTTTGACAAAGCCGCGTTGGCGTTTGGCCAATTTTCGATCCGCATTTGCCAGCCCAGCTTGCTGGGGGATCAGTTCGTGAATCACTTTACTCCGATTTGGATTCGCATTCGGATTCGGATCGTGTTAGAGGCACAGGTCGCCATCGGTTCTGCCATTGGTTCCACCATCGCCTTGGCATGCCACTGCCACATGTCGCCCGGTCTGCCCGGAAGGCAGCGGTGGTCCGAGTCATTGAAAACGGGTTTCGGTGCAGCGAACTTGCACTAGATCCCAATGCACAACATTCGAGAGGCGGCGTCGGCCCGAGGTTCACTTCTAGGTTCTAGGGCTGGGCGATATGTATCTAAAGTTTTGGGTTTCCTAAAAAAATAATTCTAAGGATTGAATACTCCTACGGCTCTGTTACCATCAATTTTACAGACCCTGTTAATTGATCATATTTCTATACTTACTCTTGACAATTTTCATTAAAAAAAATCTTTAAATCTTTTAAAATTGTCAAAATGATCAGTTCTTTCTAATTTGTATTACCATCCAGAAGAATTATATTAAGTTCAAACTGGCATATTGGAAATAAAAGTTACAATCTAATTTGAAAACTTGAAGTATTTGAAATAACATTATAACATTTTCATAGCACGGAGACTGGCACTAGTTGAAATAACATAACATAATAATATTTAAAAATAATGAATGTAAGTGAGCAGAATTACTTTGAATAATTCTACGCACTCCATCCCTAGTTTAAGATTTTCCATTGGCAGTTATATTTCCGATAACCCGTTATAGGTTGACGGCCGTTCACTCATTTGCACCACGCAGTGCCAGTGAAACTGATCTCAAAACCGCCTTACGCACGACTTCCTGGCCGAAAGGCTGAGTTGGGAAATTCAATTACGTGGAAAAGAGCGAAATTCGCACTGCCACACAAATTATGGGCTAATCAGGCAGCGCCCAGTGCCCGCGGGTCGGCACACGACGATCGGGCTTACATGGCCACATATATGAACATGTTATATTGGGGGACAGACGTGCCCAATTGTTGGCAACGGTGTAACAGATTTAGTTTAATTCTTATAATTTGTGTTTGCCGCCAGCCATTGGCAGGAATTTGCGCGGGCGCGGCACCGTCCAATCCACACAGTCCAATTCCTACCCCGCCGCTCCACCGCGATCACAGCTGCACAGTAAAAAACCATGACCTCGTCAGTTTTACTTGCGTTCTCAAAACTTTTTTTAGTTTGTTTACAATAAAAAACAATACAAAAATATAGTAAACTTAATCAATTATTACTACCTATGATGTTTAAATTTATACAAATATAAAAAAGTGTTGAGTTGATTAAGTCATAATGATAACGCAATTCTAAAATATTTTAAAGATCATTTTATTTATCCTTGAAAGTTCTAAAAAACATTTATCTTCTTTATTCGTATACAAATAAAAATACAATTTAAAAGTTTTGTTGTCTACCACTTTGTTTATCTCTAAAGAATTTTATTTCATGATTTTTGATTAGATTTTCTGCATGACTTTATCGAGTGTTTATTTATAATGAAAGGATCATGTTGTTGAATTAAATGAGTTAATCCTATGTGAATAGCAATAATGTGTCACAGAAGTTTGCTGTTCTTCGTATCGATAACGATGTGTGGTTATTAGTCCTTATTTTATAAAAATCAACAGTTAATGGCTGGTTATGAAAAATATCAACGTTATGCCCGAATTTGGCGATTTTTTTGTGTGTAGGTGGGCGCTGGTGGTGCTGGTGTTGGTCGGCTAATGCGTTATGTTACGTTGCTGCACCGCCAGATTGCCAGGCAGCCAGCCAGCCGATCGATCTCGTTAGCCTTGATCAATGGCCCGGAAAAACAGAATAAAGCTAAATAAAAGCCAGCGAAATTGAAATTGTTGACCGTTCGCATAATGCAGTGTTAGTCTGGAGTTGCTAAAGTCGCATGTGTGTGTTCTCGCGCTTGTAAGTAAGTATCGCTGCTGGCCAAGTGATATCGGCAGCGATGTCGGGTTTGCCTTTTTTGTCACACGCTGCGGCGTGCTTTAAATTATTATGCCATTAGTTGTCGCCTTATTTTGTCTAGATTTTAATTATCAATTTCCTTCTATGCTGACAGTTGTGGGAGTGGTGCCGCCCACACCTCGGGCGATAGGTGGCTGACCCAAAGAAAGTGCTGGCTACTCGAAGCATTATTGTATTCCATTCAATTCAGTTCTTCGACAATAAATTCATGATAACAGATTCTCATTAAAATTTGCTTACCAATAAAAAGTTAAATAAGTAAACTAATAAGCAAATAATCCAAGAATTTTGCTTGACTGCCGCCTAGAAGGTATACATCGGTGTGGTGTGGTGCCTTCAGGAGCTAGCCGCCACCTCAGCTTTGCTGACATTGGCGGCAGCGGATACAGTCTCCGATGTCTCAGTCTCCATTGCCAAGTCTTCCGTTACGGTGGCGACATCCATGTCAGCTTCACTCGATGGCACATCCTGCAGTAGGGCTCTTCGTGCTGATAGCTCCTTATCTAAAAATGTAAATATTGTTAGCAATGCTATTATTGGTGATTATACAGGGCGAAATCATTTTAATGGACAATAAATTACGCGAGTTCTAACACAATTCATAGCTATTTTAGATAAAAACAGAGTTACAGTTGTCAATTACGGTGTTATATATTAAATTTTTTTAAAACCTCAAATAATATTGTTTTACTACAAAAAGCGAAAGAATCCATTAAAATGACTTCATAATGCGGATACCCCTTTAGATTAAATAAATACCAGAGTCATCATCGGATGATTCACTGTCTGAGCTGTCGTTGCGCTTTGTCGTCGATTCCGATGGTGCCTCCAGGGAGAGGCGAGGTGCCACGGGTCGCTTCTTTCTTGCCGGGTTAAGTACATTGCAGAAGCCACACCTGAAGGTAGTGTACTCGTACTCTTCCTTGGGTAGCATTCCTGTGTAATATAAAAAATAGATTTCATAATTACCATTTTTTACACTAACAGTTACTGTCGAACTTCATTAACTCTATATTTTCTAATAACAAGAATTAGAGAGGATAAAAAACCTTTCTTTTGAAGTAAATTTTATAACATGTTTATGTGGTTAAAAATAATATTAATATATATTAATTAATATATTCTATTATTAAATTAGGTAACTTTTAAGAATAAAAGTACGAATATTTCTTTCTTATTAGCGGAAAAAACTTGTTTTTAGTTGACATCAAATGAGCATTTGTGTATTCTATTCAAGTTTTTGGGTTAACCCTAGCCAAAATCGGAATGAAAGCAAAAGCCTAACCGGTTTTTTAACATTTATGTGCAATGTTTTGGTTTCAACTCAAAATGCTTCCCCAGCAGTAATCATAACCCACCGTTATGAGCATGGCACGCCTTGCAGATCATGCCGAATCGATCCTTTGCACTATCGCCCACGATGAAGTCCACAATGCGATCCAGGGCGCTTCGCGATCGATCGTCCACGATGGGAAACGGCGATCTGCGCCGTAATTCTTGAACGGCGTGCAACTGCGGCGATGCTGACGTCACCGGTGCCAGTGACTGTGAGCTGATGACGCTGCTATTAAGCGATGTATTATTGTTGTTATTGTTGCGGTAGACGCTGCTGTACGGTGCAAGCGATCGCTGCTGCTGCTGCTGCTGTCCGCCGGTTGTTGAAACTCGGGCGGCAGCGGCGGCGGCGGGCTGAGGAGACCGCTCGACCAGCGACCGGTTGGGCGTCGAGGCGCTGTGCAGACCGCTTATACGGAGCTGCTTTTTATCGCCAAAACGCTCCAGGAGATTCACTGCCACCTGGGGAATGTATTATAGTATAAGATCTTTGTAGCTTAAGACCTCTTTACAATATCTGACTTCTCATCTGTGTGTTATTTTGGTAAAATGGACCGATTCTTTTTTCTTTTAAATATAGAAGTGGTTGTACTGGCATCTCAAATACAATGTGAAGATATGGAATCATTCATATAATCATACTTTTCTTGATTGCTCCCTTAGAGTTAAGGAATATTACAAGCTACCAAAAACTCAGATGAGATTTCAGCTCGTGTTAGAGGATTTAAAGATGGCCAAGTAAGTAAATAGTATATTTAAGCCCACCTTGTAGGTCTCTTTGTCCATGACCTGCTCCAATATCTTGCGCTTGTCCTCCTTGAGACGGGAAAGCTTATCGCCATTTTTGTTGAGCTTGCGCTGGAAGTACCACGTAAACAGCCGCCGCAGAAAAATAATGCTGGGAGATGGCGGGGAAAATCGGGGTCAGGCAAAAACCGGATGTAATGGAGATCGAAAGGTACTCACACAATCGGAAAGAGGAGCAGCGGAACCAAGTACATAAAGCACTCCTGGACCGTAGGCGGAAAATAGAAGAAGTACCATAGTCCGAAGCCCAAAATATAAGCGCCGATGGTGAACCCCACAAAGTTCGTCACGAACCGCCGCTTCCGCTCTTCGGTGTTGATCATGTACTTCTCCAACGCCTGGATCTGCGTCTGCAGCCCCTCCAATACCGCCTCCGTAGACTTTTCCTTCTATAATTAGATTCGTGGTTTCACGACACATATTTTTGGGTCTTAGTATTTGCGCACTTTGGCAAACGGGGGAAGCTGCGGAGGAGGGGTCATCGGATATACGCACCCGGAACTTGGACAGCACGAATCCCATGATGTGTTGTTAGGAATTTAATTAGAAACGAACAAACTTAAACATTTACTGGGCTTTTTTGCTATTAAACCGCCCGCTTGCCTAGGAATTATTGGATGCTCAACGTGACCGTGGCTGTACCTTTCGAATAAACCGTCAGAACCCGAAAATATACTAAAATACCAAACGAATACGTTGGCTGCAATCGCAGTCTCAAACCATGCAATAATATTTTAGTGGAAATAGCACAAAGACACGAACCTCATGAGAAGTTTTGAATTGAGAAATTAAAAAAATTGGTAAACAAATACTTAATTTATACCTATTTAAATAAATGTATTTTATTTTCAAACAAATATACATTTAGATTTATGATTTTTAAGAAAATAGTTTTTTTTTCTTTTTTTTAATTTATATTAGTCTAAAGCCTTGCGTCCTTTATTAATTTATTAATAAAGCAAAAAGGTGATTACACCCCTCTCATCACTTATAGTTTGAAACAATTTTTCCTGTTATATACAAATTTACATGCTTTAAGCCTAGTACTCAGATCGACAAACGAGTACGCTAGCGTAAAAACTTTAATCTTTCCAGTGTGACCAAAATTTCGAGAGTTCATTAGAATTAAGCGTTCTACGGTCGTACTGTCAACAAACCCAGCTGACTAAGCAGTTAAAGTTCAAATATCGTATTTGCGGGAAAGAGCCTTTAAAAGAAATTATCAACTACCTTGGCAAGAGGGTATTATAATTTCAGTCAAAAGTTTGCAACGTAGTGAAGGAGACATTTCCGACGCTTTAAAGCATATATATTCTTGATCAACATCACCAAAAGACTCGATCTGGCCATGTCCGTCTGTCAGTTCGTCTGTCCGTTTGCCCGTTCCTACGCAAACTAGTCCCGCAGTTTTGAAGCTATCTGCTTGAAACTTTCCCAAAAGTTGTCTTTCTACTACAGGTAGTATATAAGTCGGAACGAGGCGGATCGGGCGACTATATCATATAGCTCCCATAGGAGCTATATCAAAAAAATTATAACTTTGCTGTATTTAATTATTTTTGTTAGTTCTTTAAAATTTTGTTTTATTTAAATATTGATCAATTACGGTTTTAATTGAATTAAAATCGGACAACAATATCATATAGCTGCCATAGAAACGATGGCAAAATGCAGCGCAAAATCGACATAGCTTCATTGTTTTTAGTAATATGTATATAGAAATCGAAATGTGGTCGATTTGTAATAACTGCAAGGGTATATAAACTTCGGCTTGCCGAAGTTTGCTTCCTTTCTTGTTTTGGTCATTTACATTTCTGCACTAAGTTTGTACCTTTTAAGGCCTGACGAACGTACATCCAAAGTTAATTTCAGCAAACTTGCAACGCTATATAATTTTCTGTTATTTTTTCGTCGATCTGAGTACCATGGTGAAAATCTATTTAATTATTCGTAATAAGGCCCTGAAAATTTGAACGTGAACGGAGGTGGGGCTTTTCGTAAGTACAGCTTAACTTATAAACTTCATATAAAATCAAATTTTACTTTAGACTTACGAGGGCTTGCTGTGTTCTTTTCCAATGCCGGGTTTTTTCTGCTCTAATGTACATGCGTACATAAATAATTTTTGGCTTTGAAAAGTCCCGCAATTGCGTGTTGTCTCATATTTTCGTTGGCGCCCTATCTGATAATATCGTTCACTATCGAAAGTGACCCCAGTGTATCGCACTTTTCGATGTATCGATACTCTCGTACCATCACCAAGAATTTAAACAATAATGCCCGGATTGGAATTCGCTTGTTGGAGTTTGTTTGGATCACAAGTCGAGACGGAAAGCTCCGCGTATCGGTTCGTTTTATCGCCAGTTGCTTCGTCGCGAGTGCGCCAAAAAATAGCGAAAATTCGTAGATTTGAGTGAGGGCTAGACCCGAGCGAAACCCAGCCATGTTGCCGCTGCAGGAGTCCCAGGCCCAGGCGTCCAACTGGCAGCTGGAGGATTACGCGTTCTTCCGCAAGTGCGGGGAAATCACCGCCTCGCCGGACGTCCAGAGTTTCGGCTTCAACTGCGCCTTCTGTCCGGCGATCTGCCTGCAGTTCTCCGTGTTCATGGACCACATCCGGGTGCAGCACACCCAGGACATGAGGCGGCGCTACGAGTCTGGGGAGGAGAAGAGCCAGCAGCAGCCCCAACCCGATCTGGTGATCATGGAGCTGGACTGCCCGGAGATATATCCTCCGGACGAGGGGCACAAGAAAGCCAGCTGGGAGGGGGACATGGACATCCAGCTGATGAGCCTCGTTCCGCCGACTCCCGCACTGCAAATGGCCCCATCCGAAACACCCGAAATAGATTTGGTCTATGTGGTGGAAAACCCATTGCCACCCTCGCCGCCGCCCTCCGCGGACATTTCGGGCGACGAACTGCCGGGCCACTGCCTGCAGTCCTTCGACTTGGATCCGTTCGCCATAATGCACGAGGTGGTTACGCTGACTCCGCCCACACCCATTGCTCCACCGCCGGTTTTAACTCCACTGCCGCGGTACGAGACACGACGCGTGGTAAGCTAATCACCAAACACCCGCTGCCCATTCCCACAAGTCACAGTGAACGCCCGCTACCAGAAGTTAGTTAGAAATTAGTCAGGAATGTCTGTTACAGAAACAATTTTTTAAGCTTCAAAAACTTTAATCATTACAAATTTTACGTAATATTTTATTTTATCATTTCTTTAAATTGTTTCATTTTGAATAGATTAAATTATTTGAACATGGTTTTTTTTAATTATACAAATTTTATATGAAAAAATATATTTGCAAAATATTTTTTAATATTTGGTTCAGGTCGATTCATTATATTTTATTGTTAAGAAATTGTTTGTGATTAATCTCGGCAAGTAGTATTTTAGAATCTCTTCCATTTTATAGCTTTTTATATCAATTTCTTTTTTAAAAATACCTGACAATTTTTTGTAGATCGATTAATATAAACATTTTAGGAATTGCTATTAAGAATTGTTTAACAATAGAATGTAAATTAAGATCTGTCTACACATAAAGTTTACCTTAAGTTTAACCATGCTGGTCATTCACTGTCTATAGTTTTTGCTTTCCCCTTTTTCATGCAATTTTGTAATGCAAAACGGCTTTCCGTTGCTGTCAGGAAAGGTGGAGGGGGTTCAAGCAGAGGGGTGGTGGGCGCAGCAAGTTCCGGAGAAGGTTTCCCCTGGTCACTTGACCTTCAAAATAACGGCGCAATGGCACACAACACAAAATATTGAGCAAAAGTGTGTCGCGCATTTTGCGCGCTCATGCTTCTCTTTTATTTTCGTCTTCCCCTTTTTAAGTCCCGTTTGCCGTCCGTGGACTTTTTTTTATTTATTTTGGAGGGGCTGGTTTGTCAGTTCGCCAATCTGTGAGTTTGTCAGTCTGTCAGTTCCCTTGCTATTTTCGATTTTTTTGTTTTCCAACGCGACGCAATTTTTCAGCTTTTTCTTCAGGTTTTCTCCTTTGTTTTGTTCCATTTTTTGTGGACATGGAAATGTCTGGGGCGGAAAAAAAACAACCACATCTTTTGTTGTACGTTCAAAGCGATTTATGTGCTAAAAAAAAATATACATTTAGCAATGAGGCTGAAAAACACTCGATATTTGGGACACAAACTTTCAATGTTTTGGAAAACAGCTTGTCATATTTTCTTTGTTAGTCCGGAGGCCTTTGCTCCGTGGCCAAAATTTAAAAATAAATGGCTATTAAATGGTAATTAAAATGATTATTTATGTCAACGCGACATATATGTATGTACATATGATACACACATAGCTTGTGGATGGTGTCAAATACATATTTTTTATAGGATATCGAGACGGCTGTATTAACTCGTTTCATTAAAATTTACTTTTTTTGTCGTGTAATCCATTTTTTCAGAAGTTTTGATTTTGTATACGTATATTTTGTTTTGCTGTATTAAAAAGTACTTAAAATGTCAAAAAGTTAAATTGTTTCCTGTGCTTCGACAGGCACTTCAGAATATTTATATGTATATGTACTAAGATGCTCACTGAAGTGATTTAGGTGATAATAATTTTTTAAGGCAACGAGACTAAAGATAAAAAATCTTGCTAATTCTAAAATAATTTGACGTAATGCTGTCTTATTAGTTTTCTTTTTGACCAAAAATAGGCCAGACCGTTGACGTAATGTAAATGCCAATAAATAATTTTTTCACACACGAGCTAATTTAATGATAATTAAATGAAAATAGTTCGAATAAATATGTGTGAGTAATCTGGATGCATTTGTTGTCATTATCGACCAGATAAAGGACAAATAAGTAATGGTTTTTTCGTAGAGAACGCTGTTAGAATGTTGGTTATTATTATCGGACACTCGATGTCCGGGGAATTGAGCTGTTCTCTCGGAAATAGAAATTGAAATGTTGATAAAAATCATTTTCTATTTGCCCGTAGGCTGCGTACACGACACTTGCAATACAAATTATTGGTGATTTCGTTGTTTTTTTTCGGTTTTGCCATTATCAGCATTGGGCAAGCTTGTCGGCCGACATAGGGCTTTATCTAGACCCCAAAGAGGTAAACAAATAGGGGAATATTATCTAAGCTTCGATTTGGTAAGCATTCGTAGACATTACGCTAGCCACAGTGGGGCAGGAATTGTAGACTTCACGGTAAAAATTAAATTATTTTTTCCGCTGATTTACGAATTTCGCAGCCGTTCATAAATCGAAATCTTAGCAATTGCTTCGATTTCCTGTTCAAACCACTTGTAAACGTTGTTCCCATTATGATTTATATCCATAAGCAATATCGATGACGCGCTGCTCTCGCCACTTTAAGTAATTTAAGATATGTTGGACCGATCGATCGTGGAAGTCGTCGCCCGACCCAGACAACCCAATCAGTCCAATCAGCCCTCCTCCCGCTCGACCACTACACTATCATTCCAACTCACCGCTCATATCGCTATTGGGGGTAATAAAATAATTTTAGATTTTTGTCGATATTTGCCGGCTATTGAAAATGGCTTAGAGATAAGAAAGCGCGACGGAACTTAACTAAGGAGGTTTTAATGTTCATTTAAACACTTGTAAATTGGAATTTTTAGAGCACCTGCCATAAAAACCTTCATAGCCCATAAATCATTGTCCAAGTAAAGTGTCGACTTGAAATATACCTGGTTGACGATGATTTGGAAGAAATGGCTACCGAATAATGCCTAGTTATACGCCCCTAAAACTCTGAATACATTCCAAACAAACCGATTTCCCTGAATGTTTAACAAATCTTTGAAATTATTACCAATCGATTAGTTGTTTGCTTTTGGTCGTATCCCTATCAGACAGCTTGGACCCCAACTAAATCATCACTAATCCATTAAAATCAAAGTTGTGAGTGCAGTGAAAAAGCCTCCCATATATCATCGCCCATAATCTAATCTTAAGTCGTATCAATGCGTTCCGTTTATTATCTTCCCAGGCGATAATTTGGTTTCAGCATTAAAAAATCTTCTGGAAGGTTCGATTTATGTGGACGTTAATCATGCTCAAACAAAAAATGAGGACATGTTGACAGCGACTGCTTCGGTTTTTATCGGCTGCATGCATGCCTATTAAATAATTAACAAGTTTAACTAAACATTTCGGCAGGCGGACGTCTGGAGAGGGGCTTTTGGTGGCTTTCCACCCGCAAGTCGCCCCTGATCGATCAGCTGAGGAGGTTTTACAATCAGTCTAATTAAATTAATGCAGCCTTGTGACTGACTCGGACTGAAAAAGTTATTTGTTTAAAGTTTTACAAAGCCGGGCGCATTTTATTTTGTCAGAAATTGATTGCACCTAATGCCTCCGTATTATCTTTGAATCTGGCTTTCGCTTTGTTTGCTTCCCGGTTCCTGTGTGTTCTCTATAAGGTTTCCCATCGGTTTATTTTTCGTCGTTTTCGGCGGGCTTCCATTCCAATTCCATCAGGGCGTGGACGAGTTTTATGCTCGGCCATAAAAGCAAACGAAACCCTGCCACGGGTTGCGTGAAAAAAGACGAAATATTCTTCATAATTTATTAGCTCACGTTGGCTTTATTACATTTGAGTCTCGTGTTCTCCCGGATTTTGCATGTCGCCGTTTGCTTGCCACCGGTTGGTTGCCTTTGTTCGTTGTCATATGGCTTGGGGGAAATAATTTTATATAGCATACAAAAATGGGAACTCGGCCCGGGCCCTAAACCTATATGGCAAACAAGACGCTTACCGAAAGCCGCTGTTCGATCAATTAATGCCCACCCTTGGGCCGCAAATCAAATAGAGCCGCGGAAAAACAGAACCGAAAACCTGCTATCAACCATGGCCGTAGCCACAGGCACTGACACCGTTTGAGGCCAAAGCCTTACAACGGTATTAAATGGTGTATTAATGGGCTTTTCCATGAATCTTTTATTTGCACATCAACTAGGCCCCTTTCAATCTAAGCCCTATATTCCCTATATGTAAGTGCCGCATTCCTCGTCTAATTGAGACTTGGATGGGGTCGGACCAGATCCGATAATCACCGTTTCGGAATTAAAATGTAGTGAAATAAGAGTTTTCAATAATTAATTCGTAGCATCTTAACATCGAATTGCATCGCATCATCATCAAAGGCATTTTTGATTGGCGCTGCCCGCATATTTTTTTGCCTGGTGACAAATGCAATAAACAATAGCTTTTAATTGAAGAGCCCGATGACGCAGCTGCTCGCACCCAGAATTGGTCTAGACCGACACTGTTTGACCATGGATTCCCGACTTTGATATGGGCCGCAATACAAGTGCGGTTAATCAAAGAAGTTAACTATGTTGTGTACTACACCATCTATTAGAGCCGACTTGACCTTATATAATTCCATCAGAAGTGTTATATAAAGAGCTTTGACATAAAATATTTTTCAAACGAAATTTTAATTTTATAAACGACTCGATTAATTGGCGTATAAAAGATTAGTAGTTAAAAGAGTTCAGTGGTCTTTCACTAGCCATTACTAAACAAATTGAACTCCTACAAATCCATTCTGTGGTTACATATCGATTTATGGCTTCAGTGCCTGATCCCTGCGCTCTTGGAATTCCCCTTCTCAAGTTCGCTTTTCAAGACTCTGACAGTTCTAACGAGTTTCGACCCCCTTCGATTCAAAAATGTATAAATAAACATAAAGGGGGAAAGCACTCAACTAACTCAATAAGATTGTTCTGCGATCGGGTTTCAATATACATCGAGAGAAGTACACCCGGGAACATGGTGCGCTGCTGTTGTTGTTTATTGAATTTTTATGCAATTTTGTTAACTGGATCAATTATTTCAATTGCGTGTTCGGTAAACACAAGTTGTGACGCAGTCCACGGAGAATTCCGGACGGACTCGGGCGGAGGGTGGACAAGGTTGTCGACCAGCCACACCCCACAATTCGTGGGTGTCTAGGGCCAACACAGCTGTCCAGACTGGGGAGACTAAACCAACTTTCTATGGTCGCCGGGTCGAAGCTAGCCGAGCCTTTGTTTGCCCCACTCCGCTCGGCAAATTGCTTGGTCTTTTGTTGCACCAATATTTGAAAAATGTGATAGAAAAAGGGAAAGTTTAACCGCGGATACCAATACTGGAATACCCTTGTAGGTCAAAAACTATTGGGAAAAGATAATCCCACTTTATTCATACTTAAAGAGATTTTTGAAATATTTATGTTAAATTACTAACCGTATTTATATTTATTTAAAAAAAATAAACAAAAAAAATCAATAAAACGAGGGTATATAATTTAGAGATTAGATCTCTGATTTGGACTGATAATATTCTCAATAAAAACTCAATAAAACAAGACCCATAAGCTTTATAACCGTGTTATAAAAAGTGGGTACCCTCTAGATGCCCTACCCATTTAAATACCAGGAGAATAGATGAAAAAATATGATATAAAGCAGCTGTTCATGCATTTGCACAATTCGATATGGAATAGAATGAACGCATGTGGATGTGCAATCCAATGCAATACAGCCCCGGAGTGGAACTATTTCCTGTTGCCAGGCAGACACCAACGTCAAGGATTGGCAGGGTCAGCAGGGAGCGGTGCTCGTTTTAATGGGTTTGCTCTGCTCACCTTTCCGCAGGGTGTCGAGTAGGTTGAGGTCCTTGCCTCGAGTGGGTGTAACCCCAGTTGGAGCTCCAGCGGCTCGAAATGAAAATGTTTTCGCTCGCTTTACCAGAGAGGGCGCAACTTTCATTTCGACGTTTGAAATTGCATTTTTAATTGGGGCCAAGGCTCGTTCTTTTTTTTTCTATATTTTCCCTTCTGCAATTTTCAGTTATTCAATTAGCTCAGGAAAGTGATGTTAGCTTTCATGGAAAGGTCAGGGCCCTGTTCAATGGTTGGTGGTGTCTGTTGGTGTCTGTTGTAATACCATCCGATTAATCTGCCGCCATTTGTGCCACTAACCCTTTTTCCATTGATTAATAGGGTATATATATTTGGGATACAGCTGTAGTAGCTTTGATGGTTAACAGGTTCCATTGAATGAATATTGAGGTGATATCTTATGATCAATCAAGTTAGCAGACAAAATATGTTTATTCAGAACTTTAGGTTAACTGGATCAATAAATGCAAGCGTAATTAGTAAAACATAAACTGCAATTACCCAATAACTCCTAATGCTTTTGGTCCGCATTTCACTTTATCTAGGCCCATTAACCTTATCGACGTTTTGTGGGTGGAATGGGGGACTAATACAAACTGGAATATATTGACGGGCTAATGTATCGACAATTGTGGTGGTCACTGGCGAGTCGCCTCAATTTCAAGACAATCAGGCGACAACTTCAATCACCATTTATGGCCAAACAAAATACTTGAAAAAATATACAAAACAAAAACAAAAGCTTTAAACACTCTTCTAAAAGTGCCTTTTTATTGGCTAAACAGCATATATTATTTTTTTTAACGAAATGTAATGAATTGGAAAAATTAATTTTAGAATAAAAAAACGTTTAATTATTTAAACAATTCCCTGTGGAGTATATAGCGTATAGTTTGCCTCCACGCAATTCGGTGGGGAACCGGTTAGAACTGCTCATCTTATATGGAATACCGTATGCAATGTTTGTCAGAACAAAACATTTGCATGCGAAAATAAATTTCGTTTCGGTTTTAATTTGGGTCTCGAGAATTCTTAATTAGGGTACTGGTATTGCGGGACCTTATCGACAGCAGTGTTCAAGTGTGTGAGGGTAGGTCGTGTTCCATTCTGGGCACAATAATAAACTTAAAGCACCAGCTATCCAAATGATCTACTATCTAGCCTCAGTAACTAACGTAATATTGAATAGATATAAATTGGTGTTATATATATTCTATTTAGTTCCATGAATACATCTCCATATGTTTTTCAATTGAACAGATAATCTACCAAAAAACTTCTTACACCCACTAATCGAAACTATGTACAAATGTATGTACATTTGGCATACTTAATGCATGACAGCTGCCCTTGAATAATTCATACACTTCATTCTTGTGCGTTTAATAGACTATTGCGAAATACGATAAATAAGTAGTTATGAGGGAAGTTCTTCAGTATGTGGTGTTGTATATGCTCCTCTTCACACAAACAACAAAACAAAACAATATTACAAATAGGCAAACAAATGGAAAAACACATGCAAATGCCCGAGAATATATTAGATGGGAATATAGAAGTCGGGCCATATGCAAGCGCGATAAGAACAATGACGACGACACAAAGGCCAATAGCCGCTGATATTCGAGAACCGAGAATCTAGTATCGAGTGCGAAAGAACCGATGAGCAGACTTTCCCTTTTTGTTTACCAGTGCTGTTTGTGTACGCTTTTCAGCGCTACGATACACCCGGGCAAGATCATGTGGCTGGGCACTGCTTATCTCAGTGATACTCCACCAAGAGCAACAGCAACGGTTACAAATTTATTTATTTATGCAAAATATTTATACAAATCTATGTAGGCAATGCAGCGCAAGCTTCGTCAGGCGGAAAACGAGAATGCAAAAGATGACGATGAGGAGGAAGAGGAGGTGGATATGCTGGATGTGGTGGATGTAGAGGAGGAGCAGAGCGGGAGGTCGGAAAAGAACGTGCTAGAACTAACGCCGCCCGCCACGCCCCCTACCCCGGTGGCGCCCACATCGCCCACGAGCAGCATTGCGAGCTGCGTGGATTTGCAGTCGGTAAGTAAACATTCATCTCAGCCCAAATTAAAAAATGAATTTACTTCCTTTTCGGTTGACTTTTAATATCTTATCGAAACTGACCTTTTCTCGTTTTCAAGGATAGGCTAAATATTGCTTTAAACTGCTATATATCACATGTTCCTAATTTAAAACCAACTTTAACTAAGTAATAATATTGGAGCTTGGGTAATATAACTGCTATTAAATAATGGGAACTATATTAATTTTAGTTTACAAAAGTTTTTGAACAATATTTGTATAATATTTGAGTTTTATGTTTTAAAGGGTTAGAAGTTTTTTATAATTTTATTATTTTTATTTTTTTTGTGAAGTTGTATTGTTTTTTATACCATATTTTATGTTTGAGAAAGGGAATCTGCATCATTAAAAATTTTAAAAATTAACGTAATTAAATGTTTATTTAAAGATATCTTGGCAAAAAAGCTAAAGAAGATCATAAACATATCAAGTAAAATTCTACCCATGACACACGCTCTGATGTTCTTATAGCAACAACTACCTTTTCTAATACTTCCTTAATTCCAGAAAACTCGACGTGAACTGGAGCGCAATCGTGAGTTCGTTGGCTCCCTGCTGGCGGAATACGAGCGCGCGGAGAAATTGTGGAATCCTCGTCATCCAGAATACAAGTACAATGCCAAGCGCAGTTTATACGGGGAACTGGCTGCTCCGCTGGAGGGCGTCTGCCACAAGCGGCTTTCCGGGGCCGAGATCTTCGCTGTGTTGAAGGAGTTGAAGGGCAGATACCGCCGTGAACTAAGCAAACTGAACGCCCTTGGCGGAAAGTACAAGTCGCGGTTGTGGTACTTTGACAGGATGCACTTCCTCAGGGGCGTCATCGAAAACAGGCGAGCAGAAAGGGAGGCCAAGGTACTTAGTCAGATTTAAGATAGTCAAATTGATTGTTAAATAAACTATCCTTTAACTCATTCAGATCTCCAATGAAGGCACCGAAAGCGAGAAGTCTTGCGAAACGGACGCGGAGTCCTGCAGCAAGTCCGCATTGTACCGTGAGGTTCTCAGCTTCATTCTGGACGCATTTAAGCGACTTGAGTGCCTGTGGAATCCGCAACACTACGACTATACCAGCTGCTGCAAGAAGGAGCTGTACCGAGAGATCTCTGCCCAGCTGCAGGAGGAACTCAACTACGAGCTGAGCGGCGAGGAGTGCTACAAGGAGATTCAGAAGCTAAGGACGCGTTACCGCAAGGAGTTGCGCATGGTGATCAAACACAAGGGTCTGTACCTGCCCAAGTTGTGGTGCTACGATGAAATGGAGTTTCTGCAGCCCATTTTGCAACAGCAGATATTCAATAAGATCAGCAAGGTAGTGCTTTATGATTTATGGGGGTTTTCAGGATGTTTGAATAATTTGTTAAATATTTTAGAAAGTCGGCGTGGTGGAGACCAATCAGAAGACCAAGTTCATTGATGCCAGCTCCATACAGTTTTCCAATTCCGAGGATGAGCTGCAGTTTGTGGAAATCTATCGCAACTACTCAGCCCTGTGGGATGTGGATCATCCCGACTTTCGTTCGAATGCTTATCGTGGTCAGGCCTTGGGTCACATGTTGGATGAGATAAACACCACCTTTCACTCTTCCTACTCTCCGGAGCAGCTGGAGAAGACCTTGTTTGACCTGCGCAAGGAATTCTCGTCGCAGAAACGAAAGATACTCACCGACCCCGGGGACTCCAGTCATATTCCTTTGCTGCACGCCAAACTGGCCGAATTCCTGGACCAAAACCTCGGTCCCTTCCGCTGCGATATATGCTCGGAGCTCGTCAAGACCTGCGATCAGTACAAGATGCACCGATCCGGACATGATGGCACTCAGCCCTTCATCTGCACGCTCTGCGGGAAGGGCTTCCAGATGCCCTGCAACCTGACGGTTCATATCAGACGACATCGGAGGGATTTCCCATATGCCTGCGAGCATTGCGACAAGCGTTTCGCCACGTCCACGGAGGTGGCCATCCACCTGCGCACCCACACCGGCGAGCGACCCTACATATGCGACCTATGCGGGAAGTCTTTCAAGACTTGGTCCTTCTTCGACATCCACCGGCGCCGGCATCTCAATCAGTCGACATTCCACTGCCAGATCTGTGCGAAAGGCTTCTACGAGAAGAATCGCTTCACGGACCACATGAACTCACACTGGGCAATCCGCAAGCACCTATGCACGGTGTGCGGCAAAACCTTCACCACCTACGGCAACCTCAAGAAGCACACGGAGCTGCATCTGGCGGTGAAGAAGTACAAGTGCAGCACGTGCGGCAAGCGATTTGCTCAATTCGCCAGCCTACGATGGCACAAAAAGCGGGAGCACAGCTCCGAGGGGCAAACGGACGACAAGTAGAACCTGCAACCACTCAAAGTTCTCCTCTGCACTTTATAATATTTACAAGGCAATCGTAAAGAGTTAGATGTGTGCCCGCGTACTTACAGATATTGCCGAGTATGTACCTATCATATCGTTAATCTAGCACTTAGTAATGTATTTATTTGCTATTTAAGAATGTCTGATAAATGGCTACAAATGTTACTTTTTAAGTGCTGTAAACTTTATCGTCTTAATCAGTCGATCAGCTAGCCGTTAGCAAAATGCTTGTAACAGGTTTATAAGTCAAAACCCAAAGTCATTGAAAGTGAAACCAAAAATATACATGTGTATTAAACGAAGTCACTTGGAATGTTTTCCAATGTAAAGTTCAGTTTGGTCTTATCAATAGATATTTCAGCACATCAAAAGAATTTGGTCTGGTTCTAACCAGTTAGAATAAGTATTGTCTGGAATTTATAACTCTTTGCTGAAGTCGGAAATCTTCCGACGAATCGATATTAATTTAGATATCGCCCCTTTGCTTATTTGCCGAACGTTTATTGACTCCAATTGAGCGGCTCCAGTCGCCCCATGAAAGTGCAAGTGACAAATGAGACGGAGGAATCTTCCAGCGCCCAGAGTTATTTCATTTTTATCGGCCCAATGCACACACTCAATTAGATTTCATTAAATTGTTGCAACAGAGCAAATTACGAGAACGGCGGAAAATGAAAATTAATTGCACCCAATGACTTGTGTGCAAACAAACAAAAAGTCTAGAGCGATATGCAGTGAACTGTAACGGAGTAATTACCCACAGAGCCGGGATACAAACAAAATCGAAAACTAATCAAGTGTCGGAAGGGGACGGAACAGAGATTAATAGGTTTCGGCATCAAAGTGAGATTTATATAGTTCAAATTTACTGCCTTAAGTGATTATGTTGGATTCCTGGCCGTTCGCTTCGCCTTGGGCAGGTCCTTCAGCTCCATTTGGCTCTTGGGGCGGATGAGCATTTGCACGGACTTCAGGGATCGAAAGCTGTACCATGGTTCCCAGTACACGCTCTGGGGATTGTCCACTTCCCCCTTGAAGTATTTGCCATTTAAATTGCTGTAAAGCGGATATAACAAAGTTTGCATATATTCGTATCAGTGATTTACACATAAAAAGGAGTGATATCTTAATATTAATATTGCGAATTGAAACAAAATAATAATCTATTTATAAATTAATGGATTTATTTAAATGAAAGTCCAAAATTAATATTTAAGTAATGGATTTTCTATAATCAAGGGTCTATTTTTCTAAGAGTCTAAGTTAAAAGCATTATTTTGACATTTTTTTTGTACTCAACTGTTAAGATAAAATAGCATTGTCACATGTCTAAATTGTCATTTTAATAGCTGACGGAATTATTAGAATTTAGTCAAGATATAATTTTATCATTCATAACAGAAAAATCAGTTTCGATAAGATAAATCTAGGAATTTGTGGCAATTTTAAACATAAATATTTATATCAAAACAAGAGAGAACGCTTTAGTCGGGTGCCCCGACTATCAGTTACCCGTTACTCAGGTAAAGGGAGTGCGAGGGAGATGGAGATAGAAAATTTGATCACGCATAACTTTTTAATGAATGGTCCGATTTGAAAAATTTAAAGGGGGCGTGGCACCAGTTTGAAACACACTTGCGCTGCGTAGGAACTCCTGAAATCTACATGCAAAATGCCAATCTTCTAGCTTTTATAGTTTCCGAGATCTCAGCGTTCATACGGACGGACAGACAGACGGACAGACAGACGGACAGACAGACGGACATGGCTATATCGACTCGGCTAGTGACCCTGATCAAGAATATATATACTTTATAGGGTCGGAAACGCTTCCTTCTAGCTGTTACATACTTTTCACCAATACAATATACCCTTTTACTCTACGAGTAACGGGTATAAATATCATGATCCCAACTTAATCACTTTAAATATCAATAAGGTAATTTAATGAAATCTAAAAATAGATGAGTGTTTAAGATCTATCATGTGAAAGATTATTTTTTGTATTTACCCAAAATTACCTGCGCGAACAGAAGTCGTACCACCAGGCTCCTTGATGGTGCTCCGCACAGTTCATGTGCGTGAAGGCATCGTTGTCCCGGTCGAAGGTCGAGAACTTCATCTTGTCGTGGGTGCGCAACGCATCGCTGGCGTTTCCCTGATAGTGACCCAGAAGCTTCAGTTCGTAGCCTTCCTCCGCACTGCCGATAAGAAAGTCGTCGTAGTGGGCATAACTCGTCTCGCCGTCGAATCTCTTGATGCTGATGTAAAGCTCGTGCGGCTGGGAATTGGTCATGCGGTATAGTTTCTCCAGTCCGATCCAGAACTCGCCGTTCAGTTTTCCGAACCCCTTACTGTAGGCGTCCCAATTCCGGTAGAAGTTCACGGATCCGTCCACGCGGCGCTGAATGGAGGTCCAACCGGGTCCGGCGGCAGTTTGACCCTCGCAGGGAACCAGGAAGGGCAGGAATCCGGGCAGGTGGATCAAGTGGATTCTGGGGGAACGACCAAAGGGCACACAGCTCGTGGTGGCCGCCTCCCAATCCGCCAGCAAATCGTCCTTCTTCTCCCTGAACTTCCTCTCAAAATAGGCAACCTTACCCTTGAAATGATCGATCAATAGAGCACTGGAAGTGTTTAGTTTTCTCAATTCTGTCAGCACAAGCTGTTTTCTTTTTAATCTCGTTTCGTATATCTTCACTTTCTGCTCCAGCTCCTTGATCTTGTTATCTTTATCCTTAATGGCAGCCGTAAATGAAGAGTTCTGGGTACTACAAACCTGTGTGAGGTTTTCAAACTTCTTGAGCAATTCGTCATCCGTTTGGTTCTTGGTTTGCAGTTGGGATATCTCAATTTCCTTATCCTTGATGGTGGCGGCATTCTCAGCTATTCTTCCCATATAAACATCCAGCAGATCATCCAAGTCTCCCTTACTAATGCGTATTGTCTTATGTTGATCGATGTGGACTTCCGCCAGTTTTTCCGGAGGGGCTGTGACATTAGCGATTATCGTAGCATTAGTGGGTAATACCTGCTTTATGGGTGCTTTGGTTGTCTTTGTTTTTGAACTGACTTGAATAGACCGTGCTGAGGCCAGCATAATAATTAGTATTATACAAAAATATTCCATTCCGGGTTGATTTTTAGAACCGTATTGAATAAAAGTCAAAATTCAATTGAAATCGCAAGCGAATTGCATTTCCCTAAGCTGAGTGCAAATCAGGAAACAATAGCTAGTGCTAAGTCGACTGCAGATAAGAAATTCTGAACTTGGAGGCTGCTCTTGAACTTGAAGAAGCATACTATTGAAGCTGACTCATATTTTATATGTCGCATAAATGCATTGCTTTAAGATGAAATTAAAGTCGGCCTAAAATATTATTTTTTAATTATTGTTTTTTTTGGTTCTTAGTTTATATGTTAATATGTATTAGATATATTCATTATAACGAATTATTTTTGCTTTAAACAGGAGCTCAAATTGTTCCTCTTCAATTTAATCTACGCGCTCTCTCTGCCAACAAGTTGGCAGTCCAAAACCTCAGTTTTGTGTGCTGGCAATGCCTTCTGAATTCAACCAGACATTCAAGTATACAGAATTTTTCTAAAAGAAAGTTGATTGTGAATCGAGCTCTCAAACGAATAGGAACGGTCTAAAATGAAGGGAATTTAAGCAATGAAATAAAGTGAAATAAATACCAATTGTGAAACAAAAGCTAATATTAAAGCATCTACAAAACAACTGTTAATAGTTGAGATATAAAAGTACGACTTAAACTCAGCTTTAATTGACAATTTTTCCATTACGAATAACTACGTCAGCAAATCGCATAGAAAATCCTTAATTGACTATTAAAATCAACAGGAAAAAAGTTTCTCAAGTGCTAGAATGTGTAATTTTTGTGATAATCAAGAAAAATCGACATATTTCATGATGAAAAAAGTGTCTGGTGGCAGAACAAAGAAAGCCATCAAAAATGGGGCTCCACGGGGCAAGAAAAAACTTGACGAAGCGCAGCTGCAGCAACTTTTCTCTATATGTTCATATATAGTGTGCATCGGGTGTACAAAGAAAACGAGTCTTTGTTCTGCCCATAAATCGATGGCGATGCAACAACAACTACCACGAAGAGCAGGGTGTGTATTTTTAGGCTCCCTTTTTCCCTTCTCCACTCCCCGTTTTCTTATCTTCTGTTTGTCGTTTGCCTGCTTGTTCGTGTTTGCTTATGTATGTCTTAAATATGTAAACAATTATCTTATGGCTTCTTTTCCTTTTCAGATAGTAGAGTTGAAGCGTCTTTTCAAGCCAGACTTGCCTGTGGAAAACTCGACTGGAAATTCGTAAGAGGTATGTATCATTTGACCTGAAAATGGGTCATCCACTCAGTTCAGTGAAAGAAAACGGGTATTTCTTCTTTAAATGTTATTTTGTAGCTTACCAAAAAAATTTTAAAACTCTAAAAAACTCTTTTTATTTAAAGAACTTAAAATAAAATCCTTTTTACTGAATACCAAATCAAATGCTATATCTTGTCTTTTAAGGAGTAGACTTAATATGAGCAATTTCACAATAACCTAAAACAATCTTTTAAAATCTTATTAATTTCCCTGGAATAATTATTAAAATAATAAAATAAGTCAGGCCTTAAAAACCACAAATTTTCTATTTTAGCGTGACCTGAATTTAGGTCATTATGATACACAAAAATTATACAATTATATGGAAAAAATACTTAAGCAGATAGATATAGTTAAAAGGACTTTTAATTTGTTAACATTAGAAATGTAATAAAAAACAAAATTTCAATGGTTACGATTACTTCTATTGGTAAAAAAAGAATGATTACTTTGATTTTAAATTTCTTGTGTTTGATCATTTCAAATGACACTCCTAATTGACCGATGATTTCATAACCCAATAACAGGAGTTTCTTATCTTATCTGTTCTTGCAGTTTCAACACTCCGAATCAAGCCAGACAATCCCCAATGATCTTGGCCGATTAGAAGTCATGATGGACGTCCGATGATTAGTGAGCTGGGCCGGCAGGATTTGGTATTTATGACTACTATTCTACTTGCTTCCAAGCATCCATCGCTAACGACCCACCAAATCCACAAATCAACCACAACATATACTAAGTATATCCCAGGCAGTGTAAAAGCGTATCATGCTACCAACCGAATGGTTTATTTCCTATGTGCATATATCGTTAGTGCCTAAGTGTATTTGCAGGTCCTACAACAAACCAAACCAAACCAAACTACAACAACCAGCGCATCGCCACTAATCACTATATTTCTATATATGCCATATATTTGTATGCCATGATCTGATCACATAAATCCCAAACCTGCCCATTATCCCACGACTTATGAACCGTTCGCCTTGCAGTTTCCAAGTACCAAACCGCTTACGCCTGCGAAGGTAAGAAACTGACCATCGAGTGCGATCCCGGAGATGTGATCAACCTGATACGGGCCAACTACGGCCGCTTCTCGATCACCATCTGCAATGACCACGGGAATGTAGAGTGGAGTGTCAATTGCATGTTTCCAAAGTCACTCAGCGTACTGAACTCAAGGTAAAGTCTTACGCTAACTTAAATTGAACCACTATTTGGCAAGAAAAATATTCTAATCGACCCTTTTACATTCCTAAGTTCTAAAAATTAGATTGACTTATAAATAATTCGAGTTAGAGCTTTAAAATTTTTTTTAAAAAAAAAAAAAAATTTTTTAAAAAAATATATAAATTTTTTACTTTATTTTTTTAAATTCAAAACTTTTTAATGTTCTATTCAAAAAAATGGGTTAAAATAATGTTTTCGTAAAATAAAATTAAAAAAAAAAAAAACCATATTAAATTTTAATTATGATTTCAGATGTGCCCACAAGCAGAGCTGCGGAGTGCTGGCAGCTACGAGCATGTTCGGAGATCCCTGCCCCGGGACCCACAAATATCTGGAGGCGCACTACCAGTGCATCAGTGCAGCCCAAACCTCGACGACGACCAACAGGCCCAGTCCACCGCCATGGGTGCTCAGCAATGGTCCGCCGATCTTTGGCAACGGCAGTGGCCTGATCCATCCGCCAGGCGTCGGAGGCGGTGCACCTCCACCGCCCCGACTTCCCACGCTGCCCGGAGTGGTGGGAATCAGCGGGAATCCAGGTCTTTTTAACGTGCCGCCGCAACACACGGCCGTCACCCACTCCACGCCCTCGAGCAGCACGGCGGCTGTGGGCGGCGGACGACTCAAGGGCGTGGCCACCTCCACCACGACCACCAAGCATCCGGCTGGTCGCCACGATGGGCTGCCCCCGCCGCCGCAACTGCACCACCATCACAACCACCACGGCGAAGAGGGCGCCGCACCCACCAAGCCGAGCAGCAAGCTTCCGGCTGCCAGCAATGCCACGGCTGCCTCCAACACCCGCATCCTTACGGGCGTGGGAGGATCCGGAACCGATGATGGTACTCTGCTGACCACAAAAAGCTCGCCCAACCGGCCACCGGGCGCTGCGGCCAGTGGGTCCCCCGTATCCGGGAATAACAGCGTGGTGCGCACCATCAACAACATCAATTTGAATGCCGCTGGAATGTCCGGGGGCGAAGACGAATCCAAGTTGTTCTGCGGACCCACCCATGCCCGCAATCTCTTCTGGAACATGACCCGGGTGGGCGATGTGAACGTGCAGCCGTGTCCAGGCGGAGCAGCCGGCATAGCCAAGTGGCGCTGCGTGCTGATGAAGCGGATGCCAGACTCCGGCTACGATGAGTACGATGACGATCCGAGCTCCACTACTCCGGCGCCCAGCGGTGGCGGTGAACCGCCGGTGAGCATGGCCCACAAGGTGAACCAGCGGCTGCGCAACTTCGAGCCCACCTGGCATCCCATGACCCCGGATCTGACGCAGTGCCGCAGCCTCTGGCTGAACAATCTGGAAATGCGGGTCAACCAGCGCGACTCTTCGCTGATCTCCATCGCCAACGATATGTCCGAGGTGACCAGTAGCAAGACGCTCTACGGCGGCGACATGTTGGTCACCACGAAGATCATCCAGACTGTGTCCGAGAAGATGCTGCACGACAAGGAGACCTTCCCGGATCAGCGACAGCGCGAGGCCATGATCATGGAGCTGTTGCATTGCGTGGTCAAAACTGGGTCGAACCTGCTGGATGAATCCCAGCTCTCCTCGTGGTTAGACCTCAATCCGGAGGACCAAATGCGTGTGGCCACGTCCCTGCTAACCGGCCTGGAGTACAATGCCTTCCTGCTGGCGGATACGATCATCAGGGAGCGCAGTGTGGTGCAGAAGGTCAAGAACATATGTGAGTTTTTGGTCCATTGAGGTTATTCCCTGGTACTTACATCAATTCGCTTTCAGTGCTCTCCGTACGCGTGCTGGAAACCAAGACCATCCAGTCCAGCGTGATCTTCCCGGACTCGGATCAGTGGCCCTTGAGTTCCGATCGCATCGAGCTACCTCGGGCGGCTCTCATCGATAATAGCGAAGGTGGCCTGGTGCGCATTGTATTCGCCGCCTTCGATCGCCTGGAGTCCATCCTTAAACCCAGCTATGATCACTTTGATCTTAAGAGCTCCCGCAGCTATGGTAAGTCTCTTGGAATGAAATCCAGTCAATGGAATGATCTTAATCTTGCCTTAGTTCGCAACACAGCAATTCTGGCCAACGACAGCGATGCCAATGCGGGGGAGATTCAGCAGCGCCTTCGCATCCTGAATAGCAAGGTGATCTCAGCCAGCTTGGGCAAGGGGCGGCACATACAGCTCTCGCAACCCATAACCCTGACCCTGAAGCATCTGAAGACCGAGAATGTGACGAATCCCACCTGCGTGTTCTGGAACTATATTGACCAGTAAGATTCTTGATTACTTTTTTTAAGACTTATGCCAAATAAAATTCCCTTTTCAGTGCTTGGTCTGCCAATGGCTGCAGCTTGGAGTCCACGAATCGCACGCACAGCGTCTGCAGCTGCAACCACCTGACCAACTTTGCCATTCTCATGGACGTGGTGGACGAGCACCAGCACTCGCTGTTCACCATGTTCGACGGCAACATGCGCATCTTCATCTACATCAGCATCGCCATCTGCGTGGTGTTCATTGTGATTGCCCTGCTCACGCTGAAGCTCTTCAACGGGGTCTTTGTCAAGGTAAGAAACGGCTCCAACCCGTTGCCGCATCAGCGGGCGGGCAGCAGGCGCCAGCAGAACAATATACGCGACCAGACCCACGAGTCCTTGACCCTGACCACGCCC